ATCGAAATAAACCATAAAAATTTAATTTAATTCTAATCAATATATAAATATATATGAACTATGATAGAGATATTTAATTTATTTGCAAAAATAAAAAATGACAATTGAAAAAAAAGTATAATTTGATGAACCATGTTTTATTATTTTATTATGGGAGAAGGGTCAATTATGCCCCTAAACTATTCGAAAAGGTTTAGATATACCCTCCGTTTAAAGTTTGATTCACTCATGCCCTCGCCGTCCAACTTTTGGTCCAAATATGCACTTATGGGCGTTAGTTGCCATGTTGGACATATCCAACTCATTTTTCATTTCTTTAAATGCCACATGGAATTGCCATGTCATTTTGATCTTACCACATAACATTTATATGAAAATGGAAAGATATTTGAACTCATAAACACCTAATCCGACCCATAAATCAACTCCTTCTAAATTCACTATCCGACCCATTTTTAACAATTTTGTTTAATTTTTATTATTGCGGTAAATCCCAAAAATGAGTAACTGATTAATAAAAAATAATAAATAAATAAATAAAATATAAAATTAACGCCAAAAATTCACAAATAAATATAGTAACCTTAAATCTAACATTTCAATTTTTTAAATTTTTTTAACTTTTGATAAATCTCGAAAATGAGTAATTTATTAATAAAAATTATGAAAAAAATATAAATTAACGTCAAAAGTTCACAAATAAATATAGTAACATTTCAATCTACAATTTTTTTAAATTTTTTTATATTTTTTGGCAATTCCCGAAAATGAGTTATTTTTTAATAATAAGGGAAGAATATGAAAACAAAATAAAAAATATACGTCAAAATTCACAAATAAATGTAGTAAACTTAAATTCAATAATTTCAAAAAAAATTTATTTGATATTTTTTTCATATTTTCCTATTTTTATTTCTGAATTTTTTGCGTAATTTTATATTTTTTCATATTTTTTGTTAATAAAATCATTTTTGGGATTTGTCAAAAAATTAAAATTAAAAAAATATTGAAATTTTGAATTTAAGGTTATTTGTATTTATTTTTTAATTTTTGGCGTTAATTTAATATTTTTTCATATTTTTTATTAATCAATTACTCATTTCGGGATTTATCGAAAAAAATAAAAAAATTTAAAAAAAGTTTTTAAATTGAATTTAAGGTTACTATAATTATTTATGAATTTTTGGCATTAATTTTATACTTTTTTCATATTTTCCTATTTTTTATTAATCAATTACTCATTTTTTAAATTTATCAAAAAAATAAAAATTAAACAAAATTGTTGAAAATTGGTCGGATAATTTATTTAAAAGGGGATTGATTTATGAGTCGGATTAGGTGTTTATGAGTCCGAATATCTTTCCATTTTCATATAAATGTTATGTGGTAAGGCCAAAATGACATGTCAATTCCATGTTGCATTTAAAGAAATGAAAAATGAGTTAGATATGTCCAACATGGCAACTAACGTCCATAAGGGAATATTTGGACCAAAAGTTGGATGGCGAGGGCATCAGTGAACCAAACTTTAATCGGAGGGTATATCTAGACCTTTTTGAATAGTTTAGGGGCATATTTGACCCTTTTCCCCTTTTATTATGGTTTTTTTTATCCCACTTTAGTTTATCTATTTTTTATTTCACGTTTTATTTTATATGAATTGGAATAAGTAATTGAAAAACAAAATATAATAAATGAAAATATTGATCCCATTATTGAAGATTTTGTAAATTTTTTAGTCAAAACTATTCTCTGTTTGCTTTGGTTTACTTATATGTTGATTGCGCTCCACGAAAATATTTTGTAATATTAAATACTTGTATTTTATATACTATGGAAATCATATTTTTGTAATTCTTTTGAAGTATAATTAAATATAGATCAAAATAAATAAAATAGTAAATATAAATACTTAATATATATTTTATGAAACTTAAAAATAGGACAAACATATATGCCAAAAAAATTTATTCATGCATTTGATAAATTAATTTATTTTTGTTAAATATGTATCTTTTAAAAATTTTAGATAAAAGATGAATACAAATGACTAAATAAGTTGATTTGATTTTTAATATATTTTATTAAAATAAAATACAAAATTTTGAACATAAAATTTTTTCATATGAGTATATGATTAAATAAACACAAAATTATGATTGAAATTTTAAATTATTTTAATAGGGTGTCCATGTATTAGTTTCATATAGAAAGAGGTGCAATCATTGATTTGAGAATGCAAAAAGTATATTTGAAATGTAAGCACATTATCGGAGTATTCAATTTAATTAACTTTTGAATTTTATTATTCTATACACATAATATGTGAAGAGGTTTATTATCTATCAAATATTTTTACGTAGTTTATATGAATCTATTTATTTTTATATTTCATATAAAAGATATAAATTAAAATATAATAAACGAGTTAATAATTTTTTTAAAAAAATATTTTCTCATTCGAGGTTTTTATATATTGAAACTTAATAATAGTGGATAACATTCGTAAAAAATAAATTTGACAAATGATAACAATTATCTTTGATATAAATGCAACTAAAGAATCTAAAATGCAATAGATGTGATTCATGCAAAAATCATACAAATTTAAATTGTATATTTAAAAAAGGAACAAAAATGATTGAAAAACGAAATATTCAAAGGAGTTTTATCATATCAATATGAAAAAGAATAATAAGACGTGTAGATGTATTTCATTAGTATCTTTCAGTTATTTTATAATATAATTCTTATATACTCAAGAAAAAAAAGTACATTGGAGTATATGTTGTAATATAAAGATTCAAACTCATTGATATTTCAATAAAATGTAAAAAGTGACATATTAACTACCTGTCCAAACAAAAAAATTACTGAAAATATATATTGACATTTGACATATTGATTAATAATGTACTATCCCTCATTTAATAGATTATAGATGTTAAATTTGTTAAGTTTCATTTCAATCGTCATCTCAAAATGATCTTCATGATTAATATATAAGTAAAAAAATAAAGTGATAATGTTACGTTTGAAAATAAATAGAACTATATAATTGATTAAAAAAAGGTAATCCTTTAATATTTATTTTAAAGATTAATCGATCTCAATCCAACCATGAACACCCCTAGTTGATAGTAGGGAAAATTTAATATATGGCAAACTTATTTGATTAAATAACATTATATGGGTATAGTTTACCTAATTACATTATATGGGTATGATTTAGTTATTTTAGGTATCTTTAATTTTGTATATAAAGGTTTTTTTTATTATTTATACAATTCTATTTTAAAAAATGGTTTGTAACTGAAGCGTTAAATATGCTAACAATAAATTAAGATAATGCCACAATTTTAGGGAAACGTCCCTTTTTTTAAGCTAAACGTTCAAATTCAAAAAAAAATCATACCAGCAAGTGAAACAAAAATATAATTTTATATGTACTTACATATATATACAAAAAAATTAAAAAAGAAGTCATGCATACATTAATTTGTGTGTATATATATATGAACTTACCTTTTTTGTATATTGATATGTGTACATGAATATATTAGTTAAACATGACAGTATATACAAGTTTCTAAATGACTTTTTATATATACTCCAATAATATATAAAGTTAATATATACTAACTTCAATAATTTGTATATAACTACTACAATATACAAATTATAATCACATATGATATTTTCCCATCTATATAACTAAATCCAATTACTTTGTGTATATATGTATATAAAAAAATAATGACCCTTTAATATACAATCCCCTACTACCAGCTATTAAAAAAGACATGTACATATCAGTTTTTGTATATGGATGTAAACTTAATATTTACTAACTTCAATAATTTGTATATAACTAATAGAATAAACAAATTCTAATCATATATGAAAAATTTCCATCTGTATATTTAAGTCCAATTACTTTTTTGTATATATATACAAAAAACAAAATAACAAAAATATGCAATATACTATATACAATTACTAAACATGGAATATATTATATACAATACTTAAGCAATATTGTTTGTATATTGACAACTAATTAACCAAAAAATTGTATCTAACTTTGTGTTTTAATACACTACCTCATGATTATGAAGTTCTTCAGATCCGACGACTTCAGAATCATTTTCCTCTGATTCAATGTTTACAGCTTTCCTCTTTCTTCTTCCTTGTACAATTTTAATGCCCCTAGCTTTGACATTTTTAATAACTTGTTGAACTACCATAGAGTTTTTTCTTTGATCTCAGCTCTTCCATGGTTTGTTCTTGTATAACTTGTTTTGATTTTCCCAAAGACCCTACATCAACCCCAAAAAATCTTGAGTTAACCCCATTGAAAAGGATAGTAAAATGTCAAACAACATTGACATGCAAAGGACTACCTCTGGTAATCCTCAAAGATGGAGATGATTCATTCATTGTTTGACCAATTTTAGATCTATCAAGAGCAAAAAATCGATTATTTCATCAAAATATATGAAAAAAATAATAAACAGAACACATATACAAATTTTGAATAAGTAAAAAAAAAGAAGAGGTAAACAACTAAAATCAAGGAGTACTTACGAAATTGACTCCAACTTCGGGAGGAAACTTCAACTTCGGGAGGGAGTAATCTAATTTTGGACAACAATTTGAAATTCAAACCGAATAGCTGGAGTATTAAATGTAGGAGAAAAAGTTGGAATGTGAAAAGGAGAGAGAAAATTGTTTTGTGTATAAGTTATATACAAAATTAGAAAATAAGGTTTTTATACTATTGGTTACATAATATGTTGCGGACCCCATTAATTATAGCAAAAAAAATTAAACTATAATTATATAAGGTAAATAAATTAAACTATACCCCTATGATATAATTAGTTATGGATGTTTGCCATTTCGTATAAAGAATTTTGACATAATTTTCGGAAATTAATAAGAAAATTGGGCTCCGGACTTAGCAGGCTCCAATTATCTAAATTGAAAATGAGGGAATCAAAAATAAACAAAAAGTTCCCCCAAAACAAAAGGGGTGACTACGTATGGATCACCGTGAGGATGGGTTTATCTAGTTTGTAGGGTGAAGGCCAAACTTTGCGAACCCCTTGCGATAGAACGGTCGTTGTGGAAGGGCGATGCTGAAGAAATCCTAGGAGTGCTGGATTCCAAATCCAAGGAGGACGGAAATTTATAGGCTGACCAGTTGCATATAGCAAACACAGAGAACGTGCACTGCGATTTGGTCTTCATCATTAGTGTTAGAACTTTCGAAAGAGAAGATGGATCGAGGAGGAAACGGATGGTCGCTGTCTTCGTGTACTTACGGGTATACCCTGGCGGTCATAGTGATCATACTGACATGTCATTTGCTGAACTCTCGCCTTCCATTTGCCTTGTCTTTCCTATCCGTCCTCTTCGGATTTAGAGAACGATCTGCTGCGAATCCACATGCCGAATCCAATGGTCATCCTGATGTCTCTCCCTCTGCTCCTTCTGAAGTAAGGTATTTTTTTCTTCTAATATAGGTAGGTTTGTGCACAAGAAGCTCCATAGTGAAAAGGTGAAATAATTTCTTCTTATTGTTTGGATAAAGAAAGACGTAGTAGCCTGTACCATGTCATATTCGGATTCAATTTGATGTTCATTGGTAAGTATTATATCAAAAATTCATCACCAACCGACTCAATGGTTGATTGTAGTCTTCTCTACGCTTGCCACTTGTTCAATCAAATTGTATATTCTTACAAGTACAACTATGACACCTGTCCGGTGAACAATTCAAGTTGGATTGCAAACTAGATAAATTTTCTAAAGAATAATTAGACCTGGGCATCAGTTAAGTAGCTTAGCTTTTTTTTTGCCTATGAAGATCAACTAAGAGCATCTTCTAGTTCAAATAGGCCTAGAACAAATGATGATTTCTAATGAGTCCAAGGACTCAATGATTGTTGGAACTTTTGCTTGCAGTATATTATTTGGTCTATATACGAGAATTGATAACATTCGAGATTATGCAGACTCATACAATATTTTTCTTTGAACTGTTTGAAAGTTGTCCAATTTTGCCTATGAAGATCAGCTAAGAGCATCTTCTGGTTCTAATAGGCCTAGAATAAAGGGTGATTTCTAAACGAGTCTAAGGACTCTATGAATGTTGGAACTTTTGCTTGCATTGTATTATTTGGTCAATTTACCATAATTGATAACATTTGAGATTATACACACTCCTACAAAATTTTCCTTTGAACCGTTTGAAAGTTGTTCATTTTTGCCTATGAAGATCAGCTAAGAAGGATGATTTCTAAACGAGTCCAAGGACTCTATGAATGTTAGAACTTTTACTTGTAATGTATTATTTGGTCTATGTACCAGAGTTGATAACATTCGAGATAATGCTGACTCATACAAAAGTTTCCTTTGAACCATTTGAAAGTCGTCCATTAAGTCATGAGAGTACGAATGGTTTCTTTTTCATCTTCAGGAAGAAAGAAGAACCAAAAGTTGGCCTATTTATTTGGCAGAACAAAGGATGATTTCTTTCTACCATTTGTCTTTTCCTTCTAGCTAAAACTCAGATAAATTACTTACTCTTGAGAAAGGGTAATAGAGGCCTTTGTAAGGACGTAAGATTATCCCAAGTGAGAATCTTACTACCCGACATAAACTTTTGGTGATGGACTTGGATTGAGCGAGCAAGTAGGAAAAAGATTAATTTTCGACTAAGTAAATATGAGGTAGCTTGACCCCTGCCCTCTCTACGTAAATGAGAGAGAAGTTGGTGACGATGGGAGCTTGGAGGAGTACTGGAGATGTGTATAAAATGGGGATAAGACAACTAGTTGCATTAAGGAAGGAACTAGAGAGGTACCAGGGTGTTGAGGGGTAACTTTGGTGGTCGAGAAAGTTCAAGGCTAAGTAGAAGCATAAGATTGCTTTCGCAAAGTTGGTAAAATGAAGGACGAGGAGGAAATACGAACGCATAAGGAAATCTATAAGGCAACGAAAACGGAGGCTAAGTTAGTGGCTACAATAGCAAAACGACAGTTTTCGAACGACTATATGATAAACTAGGAGACAAAGGCGGAGATAAGAAACTGTAAAGGTTCGCGAAGGCGAGAGAGGAGGCCCGAGACCTAAATCAAGTGAAGTGTATCAAGGATGAAGAAGACATGGTGTTGGTAGAAGAGATCCTCATTAAACAAAGATGATAAGCTTACTTCTACAAACTATTGAATGAAGAAGGGAATAGAGACATTGTGCTAGGTGATTTGGAGCACTCAGAGAGATATCGAGATTTTGTGTACTGTGGGTGTATTAAGGTTGAGGAGGTGAAGCGCGCTTATAGTAGTTAGTGCAGGGGGAGAGCGACTAGACTAGATGAGAGTCCGATGGAGTTTTGGAAAAACATAGACATGACAAGTATGATGTGGTTAAATAGTTTGTTTGATGTCATTTTTAAGATAACAAAAATGCCCGAGGAGTGGAGGTGGAGTAAATGGTTCTGTTGTACAAAAACAAGAGTGATATCCAAGTAGTAACAATTACATGGGTACCAAGTTGCTAAAAAAGTCTGGTAAAGAGTCGAGCAGATGAGGGTGAGGCGAGACGTGTCAATTTACGAGAACCAGATTGTATTCTTGCTGAGGCTATCGACTACAAAAGCCATCCATCTTGTGAGGAGATTGGTGAAGAAATATCAGGAAAGGAAGAGTGACTTACATGTGGTATTCATTGATTTTGAAAAGGCTTACGACAATTCCTGGAGAGAAGTCATATGGAGATGCTTGGAAGCAGAGGTGTACCAGTGGCTTACATTAGGGCGATAAAGGATGTGTATGATGGAGCCAAAACTCGGGTTAGAATGATGAGAAAAGACTTAGAGGACTTCCCAATTGAGCTGGGGTTGCACCAAGGATCAGTTCAGGTTGCAGGGTTCATGGTTATGAAAATAATTTGTATTATCCTTTTGAGGAAATAAAGATTTCTTTCAACTAAATATTTAGCATTTTATTTTTTTGTTTATTGTCAGGTGTACCTAGGCTCTTGGAACTTGAAATAGATGATTAGATCTCTCGTCTTGAAGAGCGACGTATTGGTAGGACTCCTTGTGAGTTGGGCTCACTATTGCAGTATATAAAGAATTTCCATGCTCTAGTAGTAGATATGGTTCTCCTATGTGAGCCTTGTCTTCAATTGCTTTTAACTTGCAAATGTGGCTGTATTTATTAGTCTTAAGCATCCTAATATCTCATTTATTATTCTCAGGATCACTGCAGTGGTATCTGATCTAGATCTGAAGAATTTGATTGACGTCGTAAATAATAAATTTCAAGCTAATGAGAAATGGGAAGATGTCATTAACCGGAGAACAGATCGTTTTTCCTACTGTGCACGGTGTTGTAAACTGAAGGTGCTTGCTCAGATTATCTCTTTATGTACTGTGTTTTTAATATTATAGCGGTCTCTGCTTTTATCTCTTAGGGACTTGCTGAATTGCCTATTTTCTCAGAATTCAGAATAGCAAATTTATGCCTCATGGCTGAACCTATCAATAAGCTGGGCTCGTAAAGAAACAGAAGAAGTGTGTCCATTAGGCTAACTATTAATCACAAAAGTGACTTCTTTCACCTTTTGTTAATATACTTATGTACCTTTGAAGCTCTTAAAAGAAAATGGAGTAACCAACTGTAGGCAGTGCTCCCATTGATACTTATAAAGGATCTAAAGTGACTGAATGGGCTGTGCAATAAATGATTCTTGGTTTCACCTTCTGTTTAATGCTATTTTTATTAGGCGAAGTGATGCAAAGTATCTGGATTGCCTTATTTTAAATGTATTTATTTAGCAATTCTTATCGTTGTCTAACTTACCGAAAAAAGTTACTACTATCTGTATCAATAATGAGGTGATGATACCCATGTTTCGTCTCTTCTGTTCTGCAGGATGAGCCTCTTAAATATCTAAGTGTCACTGTATTTGAAAATTGCTCTGTTGAGATGCTAAGAGATTTTTACATGGACAATGATTTCCGGAAATTTTGGGACAAAACCTTGATTGAGCATAAGCAGTTGCAGGTGGATTCAAGCAGCGGAACTGAAATTGGACTCATGATAAAGAAGTTTCCACTATTGACTCCCAGAGAGTACATATTAGCTTGGAGAGTGTGGGAAGGCAATGACGGATCCTTCTACTGTTTTACCAAGGTAGTACTTAATAAAGTTTGACATTGAGAGGACATCAAGCTCTCATAGAACTGACTCTCCCAACTTAACTCTAGAGAGATATCTTTCTCAATGGTGCAGTGTCTTCTGTTAAATAAATATTGCAGTTAGAACTTGTTTAGTTCTTTCAATTGGATGGTACCCCCTACCCCACTCTCGCCCCGCCCCGCCCCCACACAAACCTAAAAAAAGTAAAAGAAATAAGAAGGAAGAAGTGTTTGGTGTTCTCACACAAGTTTCCATCATTCATGTGTCCCAACTATAATTGTATCTATTCTTGTTTCAATTTTTCCTGTTACATATCTTAGTTTATGTATGCTAAATTTTTGGCGTTTTACTGCTAGTAGGAATGTGAATATCCTTTGGCACAAAGAAAGAAGAAGTATGTCAGGGTTAGGCTCTTTAGATCTGGTTGGAGAATCAAGAAAAGTAGGTTTTTGATTTGTTCTGTCATTTTGTATAGCATTCTTGGTTTCACCTTCTGTAGTACTTTTAGGAATGTAGGATGGTGCAGTACTGAGTTGGTTTCATTGTGAAATTTTTCCTTCAGTTTCTGGTAGGAATGCCTGTGAGATTCAAATGGTACACCAAGAAGATGCTGGTCTTAACGTTGAAATGGCAAAACTAGCCTTTGCAAAAGGCATATGGAGCTATGTTTGTAAAATGGATGATGCACTTCGCCAATACAAAGCAGTTGACCACCATTCTCAATTGACTTCAGGTGTGACTGCCGTCACGTTAATTCAAAAGGTGGGAGCTATGCTTCTTTTAAAGTTCTTAATTGTGGGACTTCCACTATTCTTTTTGTTAGGAAATGGAAAGTTAAGTAAAATAGATGATAAAAGACACAAATCTGGCAGTGACCGTAACAGAAGCATTTTCCTTCTGGAAGTCATTTTCTCCCTTTGTACTTTAATGGCCTCCCTCCCTCCCTCCTAAAATGATAAGCAAGTACAAGGATAACGTGCTACTACTATTGCCTACATGGATTAATTAGCCTTCCAAATATGAGTTGAAAGTGTATAACGTGCTGCTTGACACAATTTTTTGATCTTCCCTTTCCCACCCTCTTCAAATGAAGGTTCCACTTGGGTTAGACACCGTAGACCACACAAGGGGACTAATCAATCCAGAAATCTGCACAAGTAGTGACTATTGCGGTGGAGTGTCACATGAATGCAATGCTAGGGAACGAAGAAATGAGCCATCAAGCAATCTGGTGCCAAATATTCTAATGCTCCTGGGTGGTGCAATCTGCATGTCTAGAGGGCTCTCTAACTTGGGATCAAAGGTTGCCATGGCATGTATCCTGAGTAAGCTTGTGAAACTCAATGGCATGAGAAGCAAAAACTTACAGAGATTTAGCCAGATAGAGGTTCAGACACGCGAAGAATGTACGATGATAAGTGAAGATGAGCTTCAGTGCGACTACTCAAGTGTCACCTCTTGAGTAGGAATGCAGCTGTGCATGTTTATGTGGTTTCAAGAAACATATGTTAGTTATTTTTTTAAAAAAAAAAAATTCTCCAATTACCCCTTTCCAATTGAAACATGAATGTGGATTGGACGATTCTATCGCTCTAATCTTCATTGTTATCAGAAGCTTTTAAGCCAGTGTCATTTAATTATAAGTGTTATGTCATTTTATTGGATGATTAACTATGCTCTATTATGCTAAAATTATAATGTTGGATTTAATATAAATTTTTTTAGTATCATAAATGTATACATTGTGTGTGAATTTTAAATCTTTTACTAACATTTGTGAGTGGCAGCTATGACCAAGTGATATTGTAATATAAAAAGAAGAGCAAAATATCATTTTGGTGCATTCGATTTCGATGTGGCGGTTTTCTTTTTGGTTGGAGGTTTTCACGAAGATGCCTTATACAAAGTTCATGAGGAGCTTGCAGATAAAACTTAAAAATATCCTAGCTATGCTCATATGCATATTAGATGAGTTACAATTCTGGTTCATCAATCATTATAGACTTTATCTTCTTGAAGAAGTAGATCCAACATGCATCATACACTTTGTTCACCACATAAGTGCAATTAGATAATATTATTTTCAGTATCCTACTACACAACAATAAACAATAAGACATCCTCATATTTGTCATATAAAAATGTGTCATCAACGACCATAATCTTTTTCATATGGAAATATCCCCTAATGCAAGATTCATAAGTTATGAAGTAGTATAAGAAATTGTCATCATCAACAAATAAAAATACACTAAGAATTTTGTTTATGGGTAGATTTTCTTCTATGTTTTTCAATATTAACTTTTTAATATGTAGGTCGCTGAATTAAACTATATTAATAATATGTTTTTTAGTGTACTTTTATTTGTCGTCTGATTTGTTAACCATTATAATTGTAAATTTTCGCACGACATCCTAATCACTTGCGAATTCGACAAGTGGTTCCAGAACACATGGTTCAAAGATCTAATGGTTCAATGACTCAGTTTAATCAAGATTGAAGATATGTTCAAGTGATTCCAAATCAATTTGCAATCAACGTGATAATGATGAAATTTTTTGTGCTACTACATGTGAAGAGATTTTTCAAATATATTTTCAACAATATATTGTTGTTCCATCTTTTAAAACAAAATTAATTTTCAACTCATCCTTACTTTAGAGCATGGGCTCCAACATCCAACACCTGCAAACTTTAATGTTCGAGCTCCACTTTTAACTCATGTGTCTTTACTTTTAACGCATGAGCTGCACTTTTAAGTCATGCATCTTACTTTTAATGCATGAGTTCTACTTTCAACTCATGCATATTACTTTTAACACATGAGATTCACTTTCAACCATGTTCACAACTTTTAACATAGTCATCCAATTTTTTAACCCATATCAATTTTAAATCATGGTAAGTAGCAGTGATACATGAAGAACGAGATTATCAAGCATATGAACAAGACAAATCAAGTTTTGCCAAGAAATCCAGCCAAAAGGGGAGATATCTTGGGATTTCGTCCTGATTTTATTATCTTATTTGAAATTTAGTTTTTACTAAAATAAAAGACAAAACATTACCATAAATATTTTTACTTTTCATGAAAGAAAAATATATTTTTCTTTCATATCAGGATTGTTCTTTCCTTTAGAGGAAAAATTTGTAGATCTATAAATTGAAAATTTTTATTCTCATAGTATAAAACAATAATATTTACAATGTAGTTCTTAAAAGAATTTTGTCTATGAGGAGATTTTCTCCTAAACATATTTATATTATTCAATACTAGTTTTATCATATGTAGGTCGCTAGACCAAATACTAACAATATGTCTTTAGTATACTTTTATTTGTCATTTGATTTGTTACCATAGAATTTGCAATCGTAAGATCCTGCATGGCATGACACACTAGTTACTTACAAAATACAAACTTAACAATCACCGCCTACCGAACATACTCTGCTATCAATATAGTAAAACTACACGAGCACAACAGATAAGAATTGTCGAAGGAGTTGAGTACGAGCTTACATACCTAAAGACTCATGTCGATGGAATTTTGAGCAAAGTGTTTGACACTCTAAAATAACCATTTGAAAAGACTGACAGGTAATAAAAATTTACTTTAAAGAATAATTTCAAAATAATTAAAAAGGATAAAAACAAAAAATATTGTTTAGTTAATGTCTTAATGTTATGTTAGGATTGATCATTTTTTAATTTAAAGTGGTTATGTAAAAAATAATGTATATTTTGAAATGCATAATTTACTTTAAAGAATAATTTCAAAGAATAATAACCCACTATAGCTATAACAAAAATTTACTTTAAAGAATAATTTCAAAATAATTAAAAAGGATAAAAACGAAAAATAATGTTTAGTTAAGTCTTAATGTTATGTTAGGATTGATAATTTTTTAATTTAAAGTGGTTATGTAAAAAATAATGTATATTTTGAAATGCATAATTAAGGTTTGAGAGTGGCCTTTGCCATTTGTTTGATTTGACACGGTTGTAAAAATAAAGGAAGATTTTTGAAATTTGTACTCCCTTCGTTTAATAAAGAATACCATTCTTTTCTTTTTAGTATGTTTAAAAAAGAATGTCTTCTTTCTTCTTTTGGTAACAATTTTCCACGTGACATGTTTAAGGTCACAAGATTAAAGAACAATTTTGTACATTGACATAACTTTAATTTAGGACCACTTGATCAAAAAAAAAATTATTTTCTTAAATTTTGTGTCAAGTCAAATTAGATCATTCTTTATGAAACGGAGGAAGTAGTTTAAAATAGAATAAACTACTTTATTAGTCATACAGCACTAACATAACATATATTACCATTTTTAATATTTTATATCATACATTATTAACGATACAATCAAATACTCAGCTCCCTCAAAATTAGGATTGATTAATTATCTTTACAGTTAAACTTCAAAATTAATATTTTAATTAAAAGTAATATTTATCTCTCAGGGAATATGAGTTAGGGTAAAACTCTCTTCCTCTTTCTCTTCTCTTGATCAATTGTTAGTGAGAAGAACTACTGCATCAAAATAGATGTTCTACGGCTTGTCAACATACACATCAAACTCCTAGCCTTTGATTTTCTCACTCTCAAACAAATTCCCCAAGTACCCATAACTTTTCTCACAAGTGAAGCCGTCTCCCGCGCATAGAGACAATGGATATAGTTGTAAGCAGAAATTTCAAACTCAATAGATTTATAAATTCGACATTATCGATGATGTCTGTTACATACTCTACCAGGAAGCTTAGTATCACTTCTTTCGTCTGATCTAGGTGCTATCAATGTATCTTATTAAGTATGCATGTATCTAATAAATATATTGGAGATTTATGCATTATTTAATATTCACCCATGTATTTGATTTACCCTACTGTTGTCATATGTATTTGTCTTTTATCATGTATAATAATATGCTTATATATATTTGTTGTGTTATTATAATGTATCTGAAGATTTTCATATTTATCCGAAATGCATGTTTTTGAATATAACATCTGAAATTAATACTTCATACATCAAATTATACATATAAATATACATGAAATAATATTAGATCATATAAATAGATACGTGAAATTAAAATTAGATACAGAAAACAAATACATGAAATTAATACTTGATACAGATAACAAATACATGAAATTAGTACTCCCTCCGTTTAAAAAAGAATAACCTCATTTTCTTTTAGTTTGTTTAAAAAGAATGACATTTTTCCTTTTTTGGTAACAAATTTTCCACGTGGCATGTTTAAGGCCACAAGATTAAAGCGCAATTTGTGCATTTTGACATAACTTTAATTTAGTATCACATGATCAAATATCTTCTTTATTTTCTTAAACTTCGCGTCAAGTCAAACTAAACCATTCTTTATGAAACGGAGGAAGTACGAAATATTCTATGGTACATATAAATGTAATTGTATGATACTCATGTATCTAAATGTTTAATTTATTGGACACATTAATAAAAAATAAAATAAATCAAATTACATGACCAAAATATACTTATTTTTGTCTTTTATTATTAATATTAATGATTTTATTATTTCAAAGAATAATAAATAAAATTAATTAACTCATGTAATTAATGAATTCTGTTACAAACAATTAATTTAAACAATTAAAATATGTATCTCATTTTAAAAATTTGACAGATAGATGTATTTCACGTATTCATACTCATGTATCCTAAGCATAAAATATGGTAGAGAAAGTAATATTTGAAATTACGAGAAATCTTAATAATTAGAATCTAAACTAATATTTCTTCCGTTTAAAAAAGAATGACCTCGTTTCTTTTTTAGTCTGTTTAAAAAAGAATGACTTTTTTTTGGATTAACATTTTAATTTCAACTTTCCACGTGACATGTTTAAGGTTACAAGATCAAATAACAGTTTTGTTCATTTCACGTAACTTTTAATTTAGGACAACAAGATTCAAAAGTGTTCTCTATTTTCTTAAATTTCGTGTCAAGTCAAATCAGATCATATTTTTTGAAACGAAGGAATTAATATTATATAGTTCGGAAAAGGGCCTAAAATACCCTTAAAGTATTGAAAATGGTACAAAATTACCCTCAATCCACCTATTGGCTCCAAAATACCCTTCCCACCTACCTATTGGGTCCAAAATACCCTTGCCATCCACCTTTTGGTTCAAAATTGACCAATTATTTAACGGTTTTATATTTAAACTATTTAAATATTTTTTAAAATACGCGGTGCTCAACTATTTGTTATAATTTAACTTATTAGTATAATTTATAAATCAATCCATTACCCACCCATTACTAATTAAATTCCTTTTAATAAACTCATAACATTATTAATGCAAGCTACTGCCAATTGAGTGTTTTTAAAAATTATAGAAGTAAATTATCATACATTCAAGTGGCTAAATAAAAATCACCGATAAACTTACAAGTCTGACTATGTTCATCTTAATTATTTTTACGTCTCAATTATGTGATATTACTTCATAGGTAACTTTTTTTCAAAATACTATATTAAAGGTTTTAAAACAAATCATAAATATTTATAAAATTATATGTAAGAAAAGTGCATGAATTAATTCGGGATGTATTACTTGTTTACCTTTAATCATAAGTTTCTAATTCAATTTTGAAAGAAAGTGTCCTCCTAAATAATCGGCTCAACCTAATTTTAATTGGGGTTTTGATTCGGACTCGAATAATTTTGGATGTCATTTTCAGGA